CCCCCCCCCCCAAAGGTTTAAGTAAGGCTACCCGTACCCTCTTCCCTTCTAAGGGCGGGACCCCATGATTTAGCTAGAAATAGTGTTGAGACAAATCGGTATATTGTTGAAAGCATCAAACGTGGTAAGGAATTTTCTTTTTTTAAAAAAAAATTGTTTTTTCTGAAAAAATTTACCTGTACACCAGAGGGATATTTTTTTTAAAATAAAAAAAAAAAAAACAGTTTGAAAACCATTATTTTCAACGGTATATGTTCTACCATTTGTTCGATGAATCCTCAAATTTTCACACTCCCTGACCTCACAATACTTGAAACATTTGCAGTGTTTTTCTTTTTTTTAAAATGAAGTTTTGCTTTAAGTTACATGTTTCTTACTGAAGCAGGCCCACTGTTGCTAACTTTTGAGTGGAAATTTGTATACGCAGGACGCTTCAAATCGTATGAATAAGGATCATACAGGAGAGAACGGCAACTGCGAGAGCTCTGCGCGAGCCCTGAAGGTGGAAACTGGATTAGCTCGTTCGGTCACGCCATTTGCAATCGCTCAAAATAGGGCGTTCAACCATGCTTCCATGAACAATAACCAGCTATTCCAACTGTCCAAGAATTGACAAAAGAGGAGATCTGTATTTTCTCTTATGCCCCTTCCTTGGAAACACTTCATGATAAAAGAAAGCACNGTAGTTTTAAGGATCATACAAGAGAGAACGGCAACTGCGAGAGCTCTGCGCGAGCCCTGAAGGTGGAAACTGGATTAGCTCGTTCGGTCACGCCATTTGCAATCGCTCAAAATAGGGCGTTCAACCATGCTTCCATGAACAATAACCAACTATTCCAACTGTCCAAGAATTGACACAAGAGGAGATCTTTATTTTCTCTTATGTCCCTTGGAAACACTTCATGATAAAAGAAAGCACAAAAATCCGCGAAAAAATTATGTCGAAGATTAACATCAAAGAATGCATGTCCGAAAAAAGAGATTCTGTTTTAAAAGAAATCAGCTTGCTGCTTCAGTGGAAAGTAATAAAGATATCAAACCAGCTGGCAGTGGCTGATTTAGATTGCGCGGACTATTGTGCGATGATTCAAAGACACCATCCGTAAATGATACTTAATTTCTGACGTTTATCGCGAGATTGTGACACTTAGTCATTTTTCGAACGTATATCCAGTCCTAGAATCTTCCAGTTTAGGGATGGGAAGTATCTATGGCTAAATTCATTCGAGACGAGTATTGAAAGAAATGTATTGTTCAATGAATTCATCGAACAGAACATTTTTCCTGTAAAGAAATACAATTTAAAATTCTCCGATGTCGTCGTTTTCAAATTTCATATATTTTAATTTCACGTGAGACATAGTGCGAAATTAACAGCGATGTAGTCATAGCTTGATGAATACAGAATGCATTGCTCAGGTCCAAATGTAAAAATGCTCGAATGTTGATGCAAGCAGACACTGCTCAACGCTCGACGTAAGAATGACATCATCGTGTTTGGGTATTCTGATGCCACCGTCATTTTAACCGCATCATAGCCATATACGCTTCGAGCAACTTTGGATTGTCCTCATTCTGGATTTGATTTTCTTTATAATGAAAAAAAATCTTCCCCTTTATGGAAAGGAACACGAATTTGCATTGAATAATACGTGCTTCAATCTTGGTTCAGAAAATCCTCCTCAAAAATTCAGTGTTTCTCAGAAATCATCATCCTTTTGCGTAACAAAAAGAATCTTCAGACGAATAGTTCGGATTTTAAAAGCTACTTAGGGGTTACAGTTCGAGGTGAGAGAGAACAAAAAGAACGAAAGGAATAAAAAGCAAAATATAACCGAGTGGTTCTTTTATCGAGTTAATTTTAGCATATTTATATCGTTTTCATGTATTAAATTTAAGGAGATCATCAAACTGATCATCGAAGATGCAAACTGCAAAGATGTAACACAAAATTTCATTCATGAAGCTCATTGGAATTACTTTAAATCAGGACCAGATCCACTAACGAAAGGACGACATTCCATGAACTGTATCATCCGGGGGAGAGTGGGCGGTGGGATATTGAAAAAATCTTCCCTGATCAGAAATGTAGAATAAAAAGTAGAAACCTTAAGCTGTCCATGTGAATATGGTAGAAAAAGGGTCGCCGGATGCATAGGTGAGAATACCGCCGCGCTAAGGAAAAACGCCGTATGAACATTCGAGAGTTGCCAACTTTCTTTCGATAAAACGTTTATTTTAACGGGATTAAATGAGTATTTTTCCTTGAGATTTTCAAGACCTTCAGAAGAAATCGCAGACAAAATTGTCTGAAAAATTAGAAGAAAAATATTCATAAGGTTACCAGAAAATTCGTGTTTCATTAAATGAAATTTGGCAACGTCTGAAGGCTCATACGGCGTTTTTCCTTAGCACGGTAGAATAGCACAACCCTCAAGTCGGCGACCGAAGCTATGTATCAACGTGGAGACCGAACATATGCTGAATAAACGAGGCGACGAGGATCATGAGTAAGGTGGCGTAGTAGATGACCAATGTGTGCCCGGTCCACATCCT